TAAGTAAGTCAAAAGTTTTTTGCTGTTGTTTTTTGAGACAGGGTCACACTGTGCCACCCAGGCCAGAGTGCAGTGGCACAGTCACAACTCACTGCAGCCTTGAACTCCTGGGCTCATGCTCTCCTTCCACCTCGGCCTCCCAAAGTGCTAGGATTATAGGCGTGAGCCACCACACCCAGCCACAAATTTAAATTGTTGGTATAAGTAATATCCATCTCACCCCCCGCACCCCAGAACATAAGGCCATGAAGACAGGAACGTGCTTGTCTTGTCCACTGATGTATCCTTAGCACCTGTGACACTACCGTGTGCTCAGTAAATACTGGTTGACTGAAAGAATAAGATTTGGAGCTCAGAAACAGCAAGTGTCTGTTCTGGCCAAGGTGGTCCAAAGGGCTGCATAGAAGTGGGCACTCTTGGCCGCATCCTGGGGGTGGGAAGGAGTATGTGTGGGTGAGCTCAGGCCCTTCTCCCACCCCTCATTTTTTGTTCCTTACTTGGCCTGGCATGCCAGTTTCAATGAGACGTTCCAGTTTCTGTTCTGGACCATGTTCGGCATGGAAGAGCACAGCATGGTGGACAGTTTCTGGTGCCTGAGTTTGTGGGCCGGGCCCTCTATGGCATCTTTACCATCGTCGTGGTCATTGTGCTGCTCAATATGCTCATTGCTATGATCACCAACTCCTTCCAGAAGATTGAGGTGTGTAAACAGAGGCCAGTTTAGGCCAGGGAGCAGAAGGGAAAAAGGAATGGAGAGGAATAGGGTGCAAAGGGGCAAGACATGTGGCGTTGTGCTCTGCCTCCACTGTTGTCTTGCTTGTGGCTTTGGACAAGTTTTCCTCTGTAAAATGAGGGTCTTAGTGATGCTATTAGTATCTCCAGACACCAAGTCTAGTGCTGATTCCCCTTTAGGGTTGGGCAGAGGAGTGTGTTGTAGAGAAGAAAACGGGAACATGAGAGGGAGAGGGAAGGAAACGGATGGGTTAGGGTCTGCAGGCTGGAGAATAGGCTGGGCAGGAACTGGATGTCAGAAAGATGAAAGACAATAGTGGGGAGAGAGGAAATGGGGGACAGTGGAGGTCGGAGATAAGTATGGGGAGAAGAAAGAGGCTGGCTAGGATTTTTTTTTTTTTTTTTTTTTTTTTTTGAGACAGAGTCTCGCTCTGTCGCCCAGGCTGGAGTGCAGTGGCCGCATCTCAGCTCACTGCAAGCTCCGCCTCCCGGGTCTACACCATTCTCCTGCCTCAGCCTCCCGAGTAGCTGGGACTACAGGCGCCCGCCACCTCACCCGGCTAATTTTTTGTATTTTTTTAGTAGAGACGGGGTTTCACCATATTAGCCAGGCTGGTCTCGATCTCCTGACCTTGTGATCCGCCCGTCTCGGCCTCCCAAAGTGCTGGGATTACAGGCTTGAGCCACCGCGCCCGGCCACAAGGCTGGCTAGGATTATAGACACACTGGAGAATCAAAGATGTGAGGAGTGGGGAAAAGAAAGTCTGAGTGGGCAGGGGTCCATGTGCTAACGAGGTCCTTGCACCACCCCCTGCTGCCTGGCTCCCGGGATGATGCTGACGTGAAGTGGAAGTTTGCTCGCTCCAAGATCTGTCTGTCCTACTTCCGAGAGGGCCTGACACTGCCTGTGCCCTTCAACATCCTGCCCTCCCCAAAGGCTGTCTTCTACCTTCTCAGGTGATGACCTCAGAGCTCCCACTCCCCAAATCCCCAGCCCCTGCCCCCATTTCCCTGTCCTCTAACCAACTTCTTCCCACCATTGAAATCTCTCAGGAGAGTTTGCCAGTTCATTTGCTGTTGCTGTTCCTGCTGCAAAACCAAGAAGCCAGACTATCCCCTCATCCCTACTTTGTGAGTACCTCCTCAGCTTGCTGCTGGTCGCCCTGGTGTCAGGCCTTCACCTGTATTGTCTATACCATCCACTTGTCTGCATACCCCGGGCTTATCTATCTTTCCAGGTATGTTCCCCAGAAAGCCTGTCTCAATTTCTACTCTCTCACGTGGCTTCCCTTTCCCTCTTCCTGGCTCTGGCCATTTCCTGAATTTCCAACCCTGTGTCATGCAGCCTAAACAGAAGTCCTTGCCACCCTCCTCCCAAGCTAGAAATACTCACTAAGCTCCAGACAGAACTTTTTGTCTTCAACTGGTCCGAGACATACTTGAACATTTTTTTTAAAAACATGTTAAGAAGTCAAAGAAATGTCCCACAAACAGGGCAGTTAGATGGCTGACAGTGGCCTGAGAGAGGAGGCCAAGAGGCCAGACATCCAAGGAGCTCCCCAGCCCAGTCTGGCCTGGCATGAAGGTGCCTTCCTAATTCAGGTACTGCCAGGTCTGTAGGGGGCTCTCCCCTCCTCACCATCAGCCTCCCAGCCCTCACCCACCCCTTCCTGGTCCTCTCACCGTCAGCCCTTGCCCAGCTTCTGGCCCCTGTCCTTCTATGTTCCAGGTCCACACTGTGGGGTAGAGGCCAGGGGCTAGGTGGGTCACGGACAGAAAAGTCTACACAGACTTTGCTTGGGCCTTTTTTGCCTGGGGGTGGGGGGGCATGGGCAGTGATCAGAGGAAGGTTGGAGGTAGAGAATCTCCCCCACCCTCTTGTCTTCCCATTCCAGGCCAATCTTGGGGCAGGGCTGTGCCTGGGAAGGAACAGCATGGATCCTACTGCCTTCACATCATCAACGCCCTGGTGCAGCGCTACATAGAGACCGCCCGGCGTAAATTCAAGGAGACCCAGCAGAAAGGTTCGTTGCCCACCTCCAAGCCCTCCCCATTCCTGTTCCTTGCTCAGCTGGGATAAAGGCCCCATTCCCAGAGTCACATCCTCATTCAGCCTGCATAATATGTGGCCCCATCCTGCCCTGCCCTTGGAAGGGCAACCTGCACAGCATGGCCCCTTGCACTCCATCACCCTCTGACCCATCCGGGCATTTATCCCACTCATTTCATGTAACGGCTCATTCCTGCCTTTAGGTGTGTTCAGTTATTCTCCCATTTACTCCCTTACCCAGTCACTCATTCACCTCTTTCATTCACTCACTTACTGACTCATTCCACCAACATTCATCACTATGGCCTCTTTCGTTCCAGGCCCTGTCTTGGAGGGAGGTACGGGGCAGGGACACATGGGAAGCTTTCAGTCTGGTGAGGAAGAGAAACCATCACACTGGGCATTAAGACAGACGCAAATTGCTATCAGTGCCTGAAGGGAGAAGGAGCCCGTCATTTTCAGAGGCTCATAAGAAGGCAGAAGGATAGAGTAGCAGAATGGACAAAGCAGGGAGGGATGTGAACTGGGCCCTGAAGGATGCGGTGAGCTGGCTGGCCATAGACTGGGGAGAGGGCGGGGGGGTGGGGACGCATGAACGTCTACCCAGTAACAGCTTTCCCCATGGCTTGTCATCCTTCTCTGGCCCCCAGACTTCCCTTCTTTCCAGCTCCTCAGCTCCTCCCTCCCCACCCGATCGGATTCACCTGTCCCAGTTTCACCCACCCACCTGACCCCTAGCCCACACACCCGTTCCTCACTTCTTCCAGTTCTCCCTCAGGAACTCTGGATACGGCAACCCCTGGGATTCTGTAAAGGGTAAAAGGGGTACAGGGCAGGCTCATCCTCTGAAAGGCCCCTCAGTACTCCACCTCCTCCAGACCTGGGCAACAGACTCACAGAGCTGACCAAGACCGTATCTCGACTGCAAAGCGAGGTAGCCTGTGTGCAGTGAACTCTGGCGGAGGGAGGTACACCCCGGCCTCCTGACAGTGCCAGCATCCTCAGTCACTGCATCACCTGAGTGCACAACAGCTTCCAGAACCTGGGGCCTCCCATCCCTGAGACCCCAGAGCTGACAGGGCCTGGGATTGTGGGGACCCAGGAATCATCAGGAACCGGGCTTCCGGACAGTGGAGGGGCGAGGACTCTGGCTTCTGGAGATTCCGGCCCGCGCTCCCCAGCTCATGTGCTAGTACATAGGGAGCAGGAAGCAGAGGGGGCTGCGGACCTGCCCCAGGGGGAGGATTTGGGGACTGAGGGGAGGTCCTGATACAGTGGAAGGCTCCCTTCTTCTGCTGCTGAGGGTGGTAGCCTAGGAGGGTAAGGGTGGGGGGCCCCTTGGGAGGAGCCTGCGCTGCTTTTCTTGCTTCAATAAAGTTTCTGTTCTGGATGTGAGAGGCCTCCAGGCTGTGTGAGAATCTCTGTCTCCTGATGTTTTGAGGTCCTCGCCTTTCTTTCCCCTGAAATGGACCCTTGTGGGAGTAGGACAGAGAGAAATGACTTGCTCTGTGGTCCCAACTGTCTTGGGCTTAGGATCCTACTTTGAGTTTCCTCAGATCTTTCATGGATAGTTCCAGACCAGGAGGCAGGAGGCCGGGGAGATGAGAGGTCGGGGTTCAATGGGAACCCTCTGACCAGTTGCCTCCTTCCTTGTCTTTGCACTCCTCACCTCACAAGTGGGGCTGAGGAATCACCTGCCTGCTTTCCTGCCTTCATGGTTGTCGTGAGGACCCCCTAGCTGTTCTAGCTTCTGGATTTGCAAGTTAGAGTGTGACACGGGTCTGCACAGGAGATTGTGTCTAGGAGTGACCAAGAAGTTACTATTATTATTATTTTTGAGACGGAGTCTTGCTCTGTCACCCAGGCTGGAGTGCAGTGGCGAGATTTCCGCTCACTGCAAGCTCCGTCTCATGGGTTCACTCCATTCTCCTGCCTCAGCCTCCGGAGTAGCTGGGACTACAGGTGCCCGCCACCACGCCCAGCTAATTTTTTTGTATTTTTAGTAGAGACAGGGTTTCACCGTGTTAGCCAGACTGGTCTCAATCTCCTGACCTCGTGATCCACCCGCCTCGGCCTCCCAAAGTGCTGGGATTACAAGTGTGAGCCACCACGCCCGGCCCCAGGAAGTTATTTTTTTAGTCCCTCAGTCAGTCCCTCAGCCTAGCAAGGCCAGAGTGGGGCAGATGGTCTAGTCTCATGGAATAAACCAATCATAAAATTCCATGTCTCCACACTGCAATACCTTTTAATCAAGTGGCTGCCTCAATAAAATTCCATGTCTCCACACTGCAACACCGTTCAATCAAGTGGCTGCCTCAGTACTTCCCTTGCTTGTCCCGGGAAGTCCCCACCACATAGCAGAGTTCCCTCAGCCCTGCCGTGGCCTCTCCAGCCCCACATCCTGGTTGGGGAGAAGGCTGCTAGGGCTGGGTCTGGAACCACGTTCTTGCTTCTCAAGGCTGTTGGAGGCGCCTCTTCTTCATATGAAGGTCACCCGTTCCCAGGGCTCCTAAGTGGCAGATGTTGGAGTTTCAGGGCCCAATCCCTGAGAGCTGGAACTCCCCAGGGGCCAAGAGCAGGGTCTTCCAGGGGGGCAGAGAGGAGGCCCCCTCAGATTGTGACTGGCTGCACCCCTGCTGGAGGGAGAAGAAAAGGAAGGGGTCAGCAGGGTGAGGGGGAGTCAAAGCAGCTGAGGGAGGATGGAAGAGCGACTCACCTGGTGCAGACACACAGCCCCGCCTCTTCTCCCCTGCAACAGACAGCAGAGTGAGGCCTCCATGTGGACAGACTCACACCCAAACTGCCCGGCCCATCAGGCCTTGGCAGGGCCATTTCCCCTCTCAATCTATTTTCCCTTCACCTAAAGGGAAACTTCTGACTTCCCTTCCTCCTCGGTCCTCCAGGAAGTTTTCCAGATTGCGTTTCCATCCCTCTTCCCACCCAAGACCCAGTCACTCTTCCATCTGTCCCTGCCTTAGCACTTGGGAGTGGCACATACATGCCCTATCAGCCTCATCAAGCCCAGGGCCCCCTGAGACCTGAAGCAGTCCCCCTGGCTCTTTCTGCTGCTTGCTAATCTCCTTAACCAGGTTCTTTTGGTCTATTAGACTGTGTAGCAGATGGACCCTTTTGAGGACATATAGAATCATCTGAGAATGTTCACAAATCTGGAAAACACTTATAGGACCCAAAAAAACCCGAGTCACAGATGACATTAACTCCAGCTGACTTCCAGCCCTCAATTCCCCTTTAACCAAGTGGGTCTCCCGAAGGCCCTGGGGATTATTGTGTAGGAACATTCTGGCTTATTTCACCCACACTGCCAGTCCTGCTTCCTCCATGCACAGCTCACCACCCAGATAGGCGCAGTTAAAGTGGCTGCAGGTCTGATTATAGCTCCAGAGAGTCACCAGGCTCTGGGCTCCATCCTGAGAGAATCTGGTGACCAAGAAGACTTCATGGGGGGGAATCAGCACCTCGCGCTCCTTGGGAAAGACAGAGAAGGCCTGGATAGGGGCCCCAAAGCAAGTCGTTAGAGAAAAGAGGGTGGCATTACCAAATCTGCAGGCCACTGCCTTATCCAGGGAGCTGGAGGCAAACTGGCCTAAGCGGACAGAGTCCCCCAGCCTTTTGGGTTCAAAGCGAAGGCTGCCCACACCTCGGAACACCACCTCCCCAGGCCCTGTGCTGCAGCCCCCACCGCCTCCAAGCAGCTGCAGGGCCCGGATCAGGTAGAAATGCAGGGCCTTGAAGGGAAAGTGCCTCATGTAGAGCTCCCGGGAGCCTCCGCCTGTCCGCACGGCCTGATTCAACTTCCAGTACAAGGTGTTAGATGAGTTGGTGTAGACCATAATGGCTATTCCATTCTGGGCTTTGAAGCCAGGGGGTAAGGTGAGCCCTCGATGCCTGTCCTCCCAGGCCTCCTGGGCTGCCTCCCAGGATTCCCGAAGCAGGGCATGGTGGGCCATTTCCGCCTTTAGCAGGGGGGCTGCCTTCTCCTCCATCTCCTCTGCACAACCCACATAGGCATCGTCAAAGGTGTCTGGAGCCAGTCCCAGGGGCAGGATGGGAACAGCCTGGGCCTGTGGAGGAAGGAAGAGAGATGCCACACCGAAAAGAGCGTAAGTTCAGAGCACTGGACACGGGTCCTGGGGGCAAACCCATCCAGAAACACAGAATCTCATTTCTATCCCCAAATATCAGGTATATGCAATTTGGCAAGGACCCAATAAGAGGCTTAAATAGCACAGGCACTGGAGTCAGACAGACATGGGCTGAAATCTTTTTTTTTTTTTTTTTTGAGACAGAGTCTTGCTCTGTTGCCCAGGCTGGAGTTCAGTGGTGAGATCTCTGCTCACTGCAAGCTCCGCCTCCCAGGTTGGAGTGATTCTCCCACCTCAGCCTCCCAAGTAACTGGGATTACCTGTGCATGCCACCATGGTTGGCTAATTTGTTCTTTTGTTTTTGTTTTTTTGAGACGAAGTCTCACTCTGTTGCCTAGGCTGGAGTACAATGGCACGATCTTGGCTCACTGCAACCCTGCCTCCTGGGTTCAAGCAATTCTCCTGTCTCAGCCTCCTGAGTAGCTGGGATTACAAGTGTGCAATACCACACCCAGCTAATTTTTCGTATTTTTAGTAGAGACAGGGTTTCACCATGTAGGTCAGGCTGGTCTCGAACTCCTGACCTCAAGTGATCCACCAGCCTCAGCCTCCCAAAGTGCTGGGATTACAGGCATAAGCCACCGCACCCAGCCTGAAATCTTGACTTTACCACGTATTAGCTGTGAGATCTTGGGCAAGTGTCATAACTTTTCTGGACTTGAGGATACTTCCAACCTCACAGTTATTATGAAGACAGCATAAAGAGCATTACTTCTGTACAACCTAAAAGGGATCATCCTGTCATTAGAAAGGTTCCTGCGGTCGGTGGGAGGTGGGACTAGATGACTACCAAGCACTTTTCTGGCTGTAAGATCTAGCAGGCAGGTTATGTGCAAATACTACACACAGCAAGTGTCCAGCTACCTGACCCCCAGCCCCAGTCTCCTCAGGCTCTCTTTCCCTCTCATCCAGCAGGAAGCCCTTGCAGGTAGGTGCTCAGCCACCACACCAAATCACTGTCAGCTCTGAGACGCCTGCGTCCTCCCCTGCTCTGTACCCACATTTGGGGTAGGGGTGGTGGGGAGGACAAGCCTTGGCTGGGAGAGGCTGCCAGGACTGCAGCACACAGGTAACCCAAGGAGGCTTTGCGGGACTGTGCCTGCGCTGGGAGATGAGAGGTGGGGAGGAGAATGTTGGAGGCATCCAGAGAGGAATGGAGGTGGGGGTTCTAGGAGACAGAATGGGAACCTGGGGCTCCCTGCAGGGATGGAGGTTCCTGAGAGGAAGAGAGTTAAGAGTGGAATCCTAGGGAAGAGTCCCTGGGAGAGGGCTGTGAGGAGTCAGCCCCCAGTCCACTTCCTCAGGGTCTGCCCCCCAATGTCCCACTTAGGGACTGGAGATGGTACCTGGAGTTACCTGCCAGGTGTGGAGGCCAAGGCAGCCGAGGGCCATCATCAGTGACGCCAGTGCCATCCCTGGAGGAGACGTGAGGGCCAGGAGTCCGGGTGAGGGCGGGACCAGTGGCGCTGGAGTCCTGGTTTCGAGGGGCTCGAGGGAGATCTGGACCCTGTCTCCAGGCGCGCGGGATCCGGGGTCCAGGATTAGGGCCCTGGCGGGGCGTGGGCGGGGCCGGGGGCGTGGGCGGGGCCTGGAGTTTATTGTCCGCCCCCCGCTCCAAGTCTCCGCTCCAGACTCCCGACGCCCCTTCCTCAGAGTCTCCAGTCCGGGGACTTTTCTGAGACGGTAAAGGCGGGGCCGCAGTTTGGCTCCGCCAGAGAGGAGAGGGCCGGGGGCAGAGGACCCACCTGAAGGTTGCGGAGGCCGCGAGCAGGAGGTAGCGCCGAGGGCTCGGGCGGGCGCTGCGCTGTCCCCGGAGTCCGGCTGAAAGCAAGGTTCCCGAGGGTAACTAGAGCCCCCGCGCTGGTAACCCGACACCCCTTTCCCAGCGCCGCACGCGGGGCCGGGAGCGGCCGCGGCGGGGCAGGGGCTGAGGGGCAACTCCCCTTCTCCAGGACTGCGGGGTCTTTCTGCGGGACCCTCTTTGGCTGTGAGGGGGAAGGAACTTGTGAGACTTGGTCTCTCCCTCAGGCGGTCCCTGACCCGGTCGGCCCCTGGCCCCCAGACGACCAGGCCAGGGGGCCCCGCGGAGGTCCCGCCAGCCAAAAGGTCGCCCCTGGAGCACTCTGAATTGCAGAGTTTGCATTTGGCCCACACCTTGGGCCACGTGCTCCAGCATCTGAGCAGCGCCCACTCCCTCCCTTCTCTGGGCCCTCTCCCCATACCCCTTCAGTGGGGTTGGGCCAGAGACAGAGCCCTTGGTCGCAAATCCACAGGATCCAGGCTCGCCCCTCCCCCAGACCGCTTTCGGTGCCGCTCAGACTCAGGTGACCCATGTTTGTAAACACTGGCCTTTCCCCCACCTCCTCTGGGCTTATCTATAAATAACCTGGCTCTGAGTTTTGGATGCCGCGTCAGAGGCCATGGGGAAAGGGGCCAGCGGAGGAATTCGTAGCTCAGGGAAGAGCTTCCCAGCGGCCTGAGCCAGGAGGAGGGGGGATGTCACCCTTCCTTCCCCCAGCGGCCGGAGGGTCGCTGAAAGCTAGGATTTCTGAGGGTTGCGAAAGCTAGGATTTGGAAATGCTGCCTGCTGGAGCTGAGGTAGGCACGAAAGATTAGAGCTACCCAAAGGACTCCAGCCTGGTCTGGCTCATTAATTTCCCCCATCCCTGTCCCCTCATCCCCTCAGACTGTCAAATAAAAAGTTTCCTCCACCTAGAGTCCTGCTGTCTCCCAGAATCCTTTCTGTAGACCAAACGGGAAGACATACCGTGGGTCCAGTCTTGGAGGAGGGTGGGGAGGGAGGTGCTTCTGAGTGCTTGTTAGAAAAACAGCTCCAGGGCAGGGCGCGGTTGCTCACTCCTGTAATCCTAGCACTTTGGGAGGCTGAGGCGGGAGGATCACGAGGTTAGGAGTTCGAGACCAGCCTGGCCAACATGTTGAAACCCCGTCTCTACTAAAAATACAAAAATTAGCCGGGCATGGTGGCGGGTACCTGTAATCCCAGCTACTCAGAAGGCTGAGTCAGGAGAATTGCTTAAAACCAGAAGGTGGAGATGGCAATGAGCTGAGATGGAGCCACTGCACTCCAGCCTGGGCGAAATGCCAGAAAGAAAGACAGAGAGAGAGAAAAAGAAAGAGAAAGAAGTTGCCTGGGCTAAAGGCAAAATGAGAAAGAGAGAGAGAGAGAGAGAAAGAGAAAGAAAGAGAAGTTGCCTACATATCCTGCCTGCCCCGCTCTCTGGAGGAAGCTGAGTGTTTGCAGTCGCTTAAAGAGAAGATACCACCTGGGGACAGCTTGGCCTGCTGGGACAGCCCCTGAGACCAGATCTGCTGGGATCACTGCTTTGTCCCTCTCCACTCTCTGGCTTTGGGGGATTGCTTCTCCCATCCCAGGACCTGGAACCCAAAATAAGGCCCCAAGAGATGGACTCAAATCTAGCCATTGGGGGCCAGGCACGGTGGCTCACACCTGTAATCCCAGAACTTTGGGAGGCTGAGGTGGGCAGATCCCGAGGTCAAGAGATTGAGACCATCCTGGCCAACATGGTGAAACCCCATCTCTATTAAAAATACAAAAATTCCGAGACGGGCGGATCACGAGGTCAGGAGATCGAGACCATCCTGACTAACACGGTGAAACCCCATCTCTACTAAAAAATACAAAAAACTAGCCGGGCGTGGTGGCGGGCGCCTGTAGTCCCAGCTACTCGGGAGGCTGAGGCAGGAGAATTGCTTGAACCCGGAAGGCAGAGGTTGCAGTGAGCCGAGATCTGGCCACTGCACTCCAGCCTGGCGACAGAGCAAGACTCCATCTCAAAAAATAAAAAACAAAAAACAAAAAAACAACAACAAAAAAAATCTAGTCATTGGCAGGGATCCTAAGTGTAGCAGAAAGAAGTCCTCCAAGATCACCTGGCGAGTCAGAGCTGGAACTGGAACCCAGAATCCAGCCTCCTTAGTTTGAATCTCTCCTGGCACCTTGCTAAGTCTCAGTGTTCACGTGAAAGGTACAAAATCTAAGGAGATGCTCTCTGAAGCTGAGGTGCTGAAGCTTCCTCCTCTCTTCCTCCTCCTTGACTGACCAGAGTACAGGACCATGGCCAGTGAGGAGGCAGTTGTCCCAACCTGGATCCCTAGTGCTTCAGTCCACCTCCTATCTGGCTTCAGGGATTCTCTTTTTTGTAGGACGAACACTGGGCAGGTCAGACTGAGCAGAGGCTGGTGTTCCTGAGCCCTGAGGAGACATCCAGAAATAGATGGGGGAGTGTCGTGTTTCTGAGCAGCTGTGTGGGGGAGGTGCAAGGGGTGGGGATTGACAATATCAAAAAGAAACTTGTCCTCCCCTCTCCTGGTGGCCGTGGTGGAGACCAGCAACAGCTTCCCCACGCAGGACAAGGCCTGGGTAAGGAGCGCACCACTCTCTTCCTGGGCGTTGGGCAGGAAAAGTGGTTTTGAGGTGAAGTTTGGGAGATGAATGGTGGAATTTTAGGAGTCATGAGAAGAAGTTTCCAGGAAACTTTGATGAAGTTTGGGATACTTAGGAAGGTTGGGGTCCATGGGAAGTTTGAGATTCCTGTGGGGAGATTTGGGTTCACATTCCCAGGAGGGTATGTTCAGCAAGGGCCTGGATGAGGAACTGATGAAAGAATGGCCCCAAGCAGGATGAGAGGGAGGACAGAACGGCAACTCCCTTGGGCTAGAAAAGGAGTTACTCAGCATCCCCAGCAATTTGGCCCATGCCCACCCCATCCCTCCGGCTCCCACTACATCTCCCCTGACACTGGTCACCAAGGCCAGCCACCCACCTGCTCTGCAGTGGTCTCCGCTGTTAGCTGAGCTGAGAAAGTTCCTCAGACTCTCAGCAAACATGCTGAGGCCTACCCAGTGCCTGGTCTTGGCATACATGCTCCCTGCCCTCAAGGAATTCACCGGCCAGGAGAGGAGCCAGGCACATATAAGGGCAGCACAGTGTGATAAGGACAGTGACAGAGGACAGCACAGGGTGATATGGGAGCCCAGAGGAGTCAGAGGGCTTCCTGGAGGAGGTGACCCCCCGGGTTAAGCCCTGAAGAGTGGGTAGCCAGGAGAAGGGTGTCCCAAGGAGAGGGGACAATGTGTGCAGAACCACAGGGAGGGTAACCATGGAGTCCCACCTGTGACTTTGTTCTGCACTACAGAAGCCAAGCAGGAGTGGCAGGTGCGAGCTGCAGAGGGCGTAGAGGGCCAGGATAAGGATGTTGGCCTCTGTTTTGAGGGTATGGAGGGATGTTTTGTTTGTTTGTCTGTTTGTTTGCTTTTTTTTTTTCGAGATGTGTTCTTATCTCTTCCCTCATAATTTTCGTCTCTGCATTTTTCCTCTATACTTTGAGATATTTCTTCCAGTCAGTTTTGGCACAGAGGGCTTTTAAGCACATAAGGAACATGACCAGTTTAGAAACATCGCCCTCCCTGGGCAGGCAGGTTAGTGGGGCTGACTGTGGAGGGGGAGATCAGTGAGGAGGCACGGGCAAGCCTGAGCCAGGGCAGGGAGTGCGGATGTTGAAGGGAAGAAGAATCTAGGATGGACCCCTATCTCACCCAGCGTTAGTTGGCAACTATGTGAATGTTTGACAAATGATTGACTGAATGGACACCCAGGGGACCATCACGGATGACTGGGTGAATAATGGGGATGGTTTATCACGTGAGACTTGCCATGGCAAATTAACAGGAGCCACCCTGAGCTAGATTAAGCCTAAAGAGGATTTTATCACAAGGATACCATGGTATCTCATGGAACCCAAGGACCAGATGCAAAGAGACTCTAGAAAGCCAAGGAGGAGTGCGGCTCCACCTGACCTCTGGCTTCAACCATCAAGCAGCTCGCCCTCTGCCTTTCAGCCTTCTCTTTTCCTTGCTCTGGGGATCTCATCTCTTCCCTGATTTCAATTGCCTGTGACTCTCATGTCTCCTTGATTGTCCATTCTGCTACCTCTTGGACATCTGCTTCGGGGAGTTCACATTTCCCAAAGTGAACTCACCATTTTCCCTCCAAACCTGATCATTAATTCAATACATTTTTATTGAGCATCTGCTTTGTAATGGGACTACAATAATGAGCAAAATGAGCTTTTCAAGTCTCCTCTGGTATAACATTGTGCCTACAGTAACAATAAGGCATTGTGAACTTAAACATGTGTGAAGAGGGTACATCTCACATTAAATGTTCCTGCTACATGAAAGCCAAAACCAAAACAAAAGTAAATAAAACTAAAAACAGGCCAGGCGCGGTGGCTCATGCCTGTAATCCCAGCACTTTGGGAGGCTGAGGTGGGTGGATCACCTGAGGTTGGGCGTTCAATACCAGCCTGACCAACATGGAGAAACCCCATTTCTACTAAAAATGTAAAATTAGCCAGGCGTGATGGCGCGCGCCCGTAATTGCAACTACTTGGGAGACTGAGACAGGAGAATCGCTTGAACCCGGGAGGCAAAGTTTGCAGTGAGCCAAGATCACGCCATTGCACTCCAGCCCGGGCAACGAGAGCAAAACTGTCTCAAAAAACAAAACAAAACAAAAAACACAAGGCTGGGTGCGGTGGCTCACGCCTGTAATCCCAGCACTTTGAAAGGCCTAGGCGGATGGATCACCTGAGGTCAGGAGTTCGAGACCAGCCTGGCCTGGTCAATATGGCGAAATCCCTTCTCAACTAAACACAAAAATCAGCTGGGCGTGGTTGTGGGCACCTGTAGTACCAGCTACTCGGCAAGCTGAGGTGGGAGAATCGCTTGATTCTCAGGAGGCAGAGGTTGAAGTGAGATGAGATCGTGCCACTGCACTCCAGCCTGGGCAACAGAGTGAGACCCTGTCTCAAAATAAATAAATAAATATATAAATAAAAATAAAAATAAAATGAAAATAAAGGGATACACAGAAACTTGGAAGTGACGAACATGTTTATTCCCTTGATTGTGGTAATAGTAACATGAGTGTATACTTAGTTCCAAAATCACCAAATTGTATATATTAATTATATGCAGTTTTTTGTATACCAATTATACTTCAATGAGGCTGAAACAAAAAAAGTAAAGTTTCACAGGGCTGTGTTGGAGCAGGACACTCTGCAGTCATGTAAGAATGGTGGAAGAAGATGGGCAATAAAAGAGGGGCTTCATTTTTTTTTTTTTTAAGTCTACTCCACTTCTCCTCTGTGTTTCTAGTTTAAAGAATGGAAACCTGGGCCGGGCGCGGTGGCTCAAGCCTGTAATCCCAGCATTTTGGGAGGCCGAGATGGGCAGATCACGAGGTCAGGAGATCGAGACCATCCTGGCTAACACGGTGAAACCCCATCTCTACTAAAAACACAAAAAAAATGAGCTGGGCGAGGTGGCGGGCGCCTGTAGTCCCAGCTACTCGGGAGGCTGAGGCAGGAGAATGGCGTGAACCCAGGAGGCGGAGCTTGCAGTGAGCTGAGATCCGGCCACTGCACTCTAGCCTGGGCACAGAGCGAGACTCCATCTCAAAAAAAAAAAAAAAAAAAAGAATGGAAACCTGGGTGTCATCCTTGATTTTTCCCTCTCTCACGTCCCCTATAGCCCATCAGACATCAAGTCTTGTAAATTCTATCTCCTAACTCTGTCTGTCCTCACTGCCATTCTCTTAGGTCCTCTGATTCCATGTCCTCAGTCTGCCTTCAAGCCTCTCCTCCCCCCAAGCCTCTGATCTATCTTGTTTACTATAGAGCAGATGCAGACAGAAACTGAGTTGCAGAGACACAATGAGAGATACAGCTGGCCCAGTGGGCTTTTGCTGCATAACCATTTTGCCATGTGCCACAAAATCTCAGTGGCAAACAAACATTTACTCCCAGGCTTATGGTCTTCGGGTTGACAGCAAGTGGCTTATCTAAACTGGACTTGGTTGGGCAGCTCTGCTCAGGCCACTGGTCTGGCTCAGCTGGGGTCTTCCTCGCTCTGGGCTGGGCTCAGGCCTGTTCCTCATGTGTTCATTCTGGGGGTACAGACTAAAGAAGAATCTTCCGAAGAAAAGACTCTCAGTTTCCTTCCCCCAAAAGCAGACCCATAGACAAGTACATGGGTGCAGTGAACTTCTTTATAAAGTGATCCCAAGAAATACAAGTCAGGGAGTGGCAAAGTCAGATAGAGAAGAGAAAAGCAGCCAGTTAAAAGCCTATTACCACTGTGATCAACTAGTCCCACCGGGGACCCTCTATGGGACAGGAAGTCTGACTTCCAGACCTCATTGGTTGAAGGCTGTCCTCGGGAACATTAAATCCCCTACACTTTTGGCCTGCCCTGTGCTTGCAAAAATACAGGCTCCCAGGGTGATGAAGAACGCCTCAGACACAGAAAAATGTGAGCCCTAGAAGTGGGAGGCTGACAGCCTGCGTGAGAACTATCCACTGCACCTGCATGTGGACTCGAAGACGGTGTCCGGGAATATGGGCTGAGGAAACCACAGGGTCAGGTACACTCTCTTTTACCCTGAATCCTTAGATCAACTGGCAGGAAGGCCTCTGATTGGCCTTCTTGGGTCATGTGTCCATCCATGAGCCAATCACAATGGTCAAGGCCTTAGGGCACCAGTCCTGGGGCATGTGTTCCTCTCTTGGGGTGCATAGAGTGAAAAAAAGCCTCACCTGAGCCCATGACTGGATTCTACACACAGGAAAGTGAGCAACTAGTAACAGCAGCTCTAGCCTCCTTGGTGAACTTCAAGAGACCACAGACAAGAACTCAAGTCGTTTTTTTTTTTTTGAGACGGAGTATCACTCTTGTCGCCCAGGCTGGAGAGCAATGGTGCGATCTCGGCTCACTGCGATCTCCGCCTCCCAAGTTCAAGAGATTCTCCGGCCTCAGCTTCCGCACAACACCATGCCCAACTAATTTTTTGCCTTTTTAGTAGAGACGGGGTTTCACTATGTTGGCCAGTCTGGTTTCAAACTCCTGACCTCAGGTGATCCACCCGCCTTGGCGTCCCAAAGTGCTGGGATTAGAGGGGTGAGCCACCGCACCCGCCCAGGGAAGTCGGTTTTCATAGCTCACTGCAGCCTTAACCTCCTGGACTCAAGCAATCCTCCTACCTTCAGCCTGCCGAGTTGTTGGGATTACAGATATGCACCACCACACCCTGTAGCCTGGCGTATGTATGTATGTACGTATGTATGTATTTTAATTTTTGAGACGGAGTCTTACTCTGCCGCCCAGGCTGGAGTGCAATGGCGCGATCTTGGCTCACTGCAACCTTCGCCTCCTGGATTCAAGCTATTCTCCTGCCTCAGCCTCCCGAGTAGCTGGGATTACGGGCACCTGCCCAGTTAATTTTTGTGTTTTTGTAGAGATGGGGTTTCACCACGTTGGCCAGGCTGGTCTTGAACTCCTGACCTCAGGTGATCCACCCGCCTCAGCCTCCCAAAGTTGCCCGGACGTATTTTTTTATTTTTAGTAGCGATGGTGTCTCACTATGTTGCCCAGGCTGGTTTCAAACTCCTGGGCTCAAGTAATCCTCCCACCTCAGTCTCCCAAAGTGCTGGGATTACAGGCTGGAGCCACCATGCCTGGCTGTTGTTCATAATTTTATCCGTAGTACCTGACATGCTACAGATGCTAGACAAAAAAAAAAAAAAAAAATTGTTGAATAAATGAGTAAGCAGCTTTTGAGGGGGAGAAGATAATGAGCTCCATTTTGGACATGTGGAATTTGGTAAAAACTACTGCTAACTCCATTGCCCAGAGAAGCTCATACTTCACATTTAAATTGTGTATTGGCAATTACAGGTCTTAGATTTGAAGATTAATTATAGACACATAGAATCCCAGTGTCTTAGAGTCACTGAACTATCCAAACTTAGGTCTCCCCAGAGCCAGAGATGATAAAGCAGCGACGCTTAACCTAAATGAGATTGGAGGCAGAAGCATAACCACCGTGATATTTATGTAACATTTGTTTGAAGGCGCATATATTCATTTTCTAAGGGGAGGTTTCAGCTTTTATCAGATTCCAAAAGATAAAGGCCCATTGACTATATTACCATTTGTGTACAGAAAGAAAACAGAGGCTGGAAGCTTTGACTCATACCTGTAATCCCAGCATGCTGGGAGGCCAAGGTGGGTGGACTGCTTGAGCCCAGGAATTCGAGATCAGCCTGGGCAACATGGCAAAACCCCATCTCTACAAAAAATATAAAAATAAGCCAGGCATCGTGTTGTGTGCCTGTAGTCCCAGCTACTTGGGAGGCTGAGGCAGGAGGATCGATTGAGCTCAGAAGGTCAAGGCTGAAGTGAGCTATGATCATGCCACTGTACTCCAGCCTGGGCAACAGAGCAAGACCCTGCCTCAAACAAACAAAAAAAGTAGATACCATTTTGCCTACCAGTTAAATGGAAATTAAAAAGAGATCAATCGTATTCAGCAATGGCAAAGATGTGGAATAAAGGGCACTCTCATCCATTGTTGGTGGGGTGGTAGTTTCTATCAAAATAAAAAGTATTCATATTCTTTAGATCTCATTTTACTTCTCAAAATCTTTCCTATAAAAACATGCACACCAGTGAAACCCCGTCTCTACTAAAAAATACAAAAAATTAGCCGGGCGAGGTGGCGGGCGCCTGTAGTCCCAGCTACGCGGGAGGCTGAGGCAGGAGAATGGTGTGAACCCGGGAGGCGGAGCTTGCAGTGAGCTGAGATCCGGCCACTGCACTCCAGCCTGGGCGACAGAGCGAGACTCCGTCTCAAAAAAAAAAATAAAATAAAATAAAATAAATAAAAACATGCACACAAGTAGACAAGGATTTATATACGTAAATATTCACTGTAGTATTATGTATAATATTTTAAAATTAGGAAAAAAATCTAAGTGTTCATAAGTATGAAATGGTTAATTATGGTTTATACCGTGAGATAAACCAAGCTGCCATTATGTGAGCAAGGGAGGTATGTATGTACTGACATGGAAGGAAGTTCATGATATTTTTTTCCTGAGGAAAAAAGGTAATAAAGTGTGTATGTGTAAGCATGTTTCCCTTTAGTTCTTAAAAAAATGACAATAGGGTCAGCGCGGTGGCTTATGCCTGTGATCCCAACACTTTGGGAGGCCGAGGTGGGCGGATCACCTGAGGTCAGGAGTTCGAGACCATCCTGGCCAGCATGGTGAAACCCTGTCTCTACTAAGAATACCAAAATTAGCTGGGCGTGGAGGCAGGCACCTGCAGTCCCAGCTACTCCAGAGGCTGAGGCAAAAGAATCACTTGGACTCGGGAGGTGGAGGTTGCAGTGAGCCAAGATCACGCCACTGCACTCCAGCCCGGGCAACGGAGTGAGACTTGGTCTCAGAAAAAAAAAAAGAAAAAAGAAAAGAAAAAAAAAAAAAAAAAAGGAAACTGCCAGTTTCAATCCAGACCCAATGCCTGGACACCCTCTTCTTGGAGACACTTCAGGCACTCCACCTGTCCCCCAACAGGGAGGGTGTGGAACGCTTGTGGTTCATGCTGCTTGCTTTGGGGAAACCATTATCCTCTGTCTTCTCCTGCTTTTCTGATCCCCTCTTTCCCCAGCACCTGGGGTTTATATCTGTCCCTCCCTGGAAGCATGGAAGGCTCATTCCACAAGAGGACTGCAGGGAGTGGGGGCAACCGGTGGACCAAGCCCTGCTCTAAGTCTGTTCCTGGAGTCCTGCTAAGGCCCCACCAGCTGCACACTCCTGGATCTGCCCCCATCCCAACCCCATAACCCCTGTGAGGTGAAGCCCAGCTCTCTCACCGTGGCTGTCAAGTCCCTTCATGACTGGCCCATCTTCCCAACGTTCCTACCCTGCGAGCTCTGCCAGCCTAGATGACATGTCTTTCCCTCTTTACATCCTCAGTTCCCACCTCCAATACATTTGCTTTTTCCATTCCTGCTGCACAATATCTCCCAGTCTCCACTTGCTGACATTTTAGTCTCTTGTTCATCCTGCAAGACCCTGTTCACGTCACTCCTCCAGGAAGTCACGCATGTTCCTTCCAGCAAGAAAGGTCCTCTCTCTTCTGAGCCTCCATGTCTGTCTTGTGACTCTCAGTGCCAAGCACTAGGAATGGCACAGACTAAGTGTCGATTCATGTTTATTAAACTATACAGATTAACACTGCAATTTTCCAGATGAGGAAACTGAGACTCAAAGAGAGACAGCAACTGGCCCAGGGTCACCAGCATGCAGATGCCTGCTATGATGTCTCTGCTTCTTGTGTCTGTGGGCCTCGTGGAAGCACTTCAGGTACGGGCACCCCCCACTGTTCCCACCCCAGCAGGGAACTGAGCCATCAGCTTCTTCTGAACCCTGGAAGGAGAGAGGAAAGAATGCCTGACGCTTCCCTTGGGGATCACTCAGCCCAAGGGGACAGCCCCAGATGCTAGTCTTGAGGAAATTACAGCCAGAGGTTCCCAATCCCCTTCCCCACCAGGTGTGTTTGGGGCCCTTCCTGCCTTTCTCAGTGGAGGGGAGAGCTGGATGGCAGGGGACTCATTCTCTCAGGGGCCTATCCTCTCAGTCCCTGCTGCTCCTGCCCCCTCAGGCCCAGAGCCACCCCATCACACGACGAGACCTCTTCTCTCAAGAGATGCCGCTGGACATGGCCCTGGCTTCCTTTGATGACCAGTACGCTGGCTGTGCTGCTGCCATGACAGCTGCTCTTCCAGATCTCAACCACACGGAGTTCCAGGCCAACAAGGTGTATGCAGACGGCTGGACACTGGCAAGCAGCCAATGGCAGGAGCGCCAGGCCTGGGGGCCAGAGTGGAGTCTCAGCCCTACCCGTCCACCCCCGCCACCCCTGGGCTTCCGCGATGAGCATGGGGTGGCCCTCCTGGCCTACACAGCCAACAGCCCCCTGCACAAGGAGTTCAATGCAGCCGTGCGTGAGGCAGGTCGCTCCCGGGCCCACTACCTCCATCACTTCTCCTTCAAGACACTCCATTTCCTGCTGACCGAGGCCCTGCAGCTCCTGGGCAGGGGCCAGCGTCCACCCCGGTGCCACCAGGTGTTCCGAGGTGTGCATGGCCTGCACTTCCGGCCAGCAGGGCCCGGGGCCACTGTGAGGCTGGGGGGCTTTGCTTCCGCCTCCCTGAAGAATGTTGCGGCCCAGCAGTTTGGTGAGGACACCTTCTTTGGCATCTGGACCTGCCTCGGGGCCCCTATCAAGGGCTACTCCTTCTTCCCTGGAGAGGAAGAGGTGCTGATCCCCCCCTTCGAGACCTTCCAAGTGATCAATGCCAGCAGACCGGCCCAGGGCCCCGCCCGCATCTACCTCCGGGCTCTGGGCAAGCGCAGCACCTACAACTGCGAGTACATCAAAGGTAGGAGGGCAAGCGCCAGTCAGCACCTGTGCAGAAGGTGGGCCTTCCACATCCACCAGGGACTTCGGCAAACCCAAGCCCCTATCTCCTGTGTCCCAGGGATACATAAATACAACCAGTCATATCCACCAGCTCCCAACCCCTTCCATCTAAGGGGAGACATAACCTTTTGAGGGGTGCACTTACTGCCCTTGAAGGGATCTAAGCCATAGTTGGCCACTTGCCTGCTGGGTGGCTGGAAAGGTTTCCTGGCCAAGGGAGGGGTCTCTGACCATTTGGGCGGGCAAGCAGGCCTGGTCGGGCTTTTCTCCTGGTCAGAGGCTGGAAGGGAATTATTTTCCAGCCAGATTATTGATACCTAAAGAGCTGTTGCCAGAAATGAGTAGGAGCCCCAACCTCAGTTTCTGAGAAGAGTGCATTTATGAGCTGGAAGAAGAATTCTGTGCTGGGTGGGGTGGTGGGGGCAGGGAGACAGCAGCTGGGTGCTGTGCCCCTAAGGTCACACTCAGGCTGTGGTCGGGAAGTGGTAGACGCTCCTCCTGTCCATGTCCCCAGCACAGGCCAGAAGAACCACCACGGGGATGGGCCCAGGTTCTTAATTTCTGAAGGGCTAAGGACTTCACTTCCTATCTTGGACAGCAACAGGAGCATGCATGAGTTGACATAAGGTGAGGAGGGCATGCAAAGAACACAAACCAGGCTGGGGCGAGGCATGGAAGAGGGAGAGGTGAGTGTGGCAGGGAGGCAAAGTTACAGGCCCAGGGAGCAGGAGTGCCCCAGAGTCGACCCTGGCTTTGATGGCCCACTCCCCCTTCTGGCCCTGCTTCTCATGGGTTGAGGCAAACCTAGTCAAGGAAGTTCCACCATGAAAGAGCAGAATTAGGGGGAAATGTACCAACCTCTCCTAGAACAAGTCAGGAATGGACCACCAGGGCTCTGAGGTCCCTTTCCATCCTGAGAGCTCCTGAGCCTTTCATTCTTTACTGTTTCTTTTCTATAGACAAGAAGTGCAAGTCTGGGCCTTGCCATCTGGATAATTCAGGTAAGGGCTGCAGGCACCTGTGGGACTCAGTTCATCCCTGACCCCATCACCTGGATCTTTTTTTTTTTTTTTTTTTTAAGACGGAGTTTTCACTCTTGTTGCCCAGGCTGGAGTGCAATGGCACGATCTCAGCTCACTGCAACCTCCGCTTCCCAGGTTCAAGCCATTCTCCTGCCTCAGCCTCTTGATTACAGCTGGGATTACAGGCGCCCGCCACCACGCCTGGCTAATTTTTTGTATTTTTAGTAGAGACCACAGCCTGAGCTGGACCTTAGGGGCACAGCACCCAACTGCTGTCTCCCTGCCCACCATGTTGGCCAGGCTGGCCTCGAACTCCTGACCTCAGGGGATCCATCCACCTTGGCCTCCCAAAGTGCTGGGATTACAGACGTGAGCCACCATGCCCGGCCCACTTGGATCTTTTATAAGGAAACAACCTCATTAATAATAATAATAAAAAAAAGTGCACTCACTGAAGTGGCACCTTGGGGGTTGCCAGCCTTAGCCAGGAGATGAGTGTGTGGGAGAGCAGATGGTTGGGGGAGCAGAGACACCTGCTCTCCAGCCTGGGTCTGCCTGTCCTTTGCAGGAAAAGGCCACTGATCAGGCCCCCGAGAGATTCAGGCTGCAGTGAAGTGAGGGATGGAAGGGCTGCTCCCTGCAACGTCCTCCTTTGGTCCTTCTCTGCCTCCCAGTGCAGAACCCACTGTCTCTGTTACTGCCCTCAGGGCTCCCCCAAACCCACCTTCGAAGGCCAGCTTTGGGTGCTGGAGGCCTGGGCTCTAGTCCAGGCTCTGCTCTTTCTCTATGACCAACCCATTCTTTCTCTGTGCCTCAGTTTCTCGGTGTGTATAATAAGCAAATTGGACCAGATGATCACCAGCTGTGACTCTTCTCTTCCCTCAGACACTTGGTGTGCCAAGGCCTACCCAGGTCACCATGTCTCTAGGTGGGAATGGGCCATTTCCAGGGAAGAAGCAGCAGTTCCTCCCCAAGCCTTTAGAACTCCTCTGTCCTTCAGAACTCTGTAAGTGGGCACGAAGGACCCCCCAGCTTCCTCTGATCCACTCCAGGCACATCATGCCATTCATTCTCACCACGCCCCAATGGTACTGTCATCACCTCTGTTCTGCAGATGACAGTACCAAGGTACAAAGACGCAAAGAGAAGCCAGGCGCGGTGGCTCACGCCTGTAATCCCAGCACTTTGGGAGGCCAAGATGGGCGGATCACCTGCGGTCAGGAGTTCGAGACCAGCCTGACCAACATGGAGAAACCCCGTCTCTACTAAAAATACAAAATTAGCTGGGCGTGGTGGTGCATGCCTGTAATCCCAGCTACTTGGGAGGCTGAGGCAGGAGAATCTCTTGAACCTAGGAGGCAGAGGTTGCTGTGAGCCAAGATTGTGCCGTTGCACTCCAGCCTGGGCAACAAGAGTGAACCTCTGTCCCAAAACAAAACAAAACAAAACAAAAACAAAAACATCAAAGGTGCAAAGAGGAGAAGCAAGCAGCCCTGTGCCACCCAGCTACTAAGAAGTGGGGTCCAGAGAGCCTGGCTCTAGAGCCAAACTCTGAACCACCACACCAGGATGGTTTTCATCCCTCCCCAGACATCATCCCATCCCATCCCATCCATCTCATCTTTATTGCACAGTAATCTATGGGAAGGAGGCGGAACAGGAGGCATTACCCATTTCATATGGTCAAGTGAGACCCAGAGACAAATTATTTGCTCAAGGTGACAGTGAGTTCATGGCAGAGCCAGGATCAGAAGCCAAGTTTCCAGCCTCCCAGGCATCTTTGAGTTTTGATGATATAATTCCAGTAACTGGAAAAGTTTAGGATTTCTCCTCCTAGTCCACCCCACACCTCTCCTACCAGGGTTTGGGCAAAGGAGCCAAGTTCAGCCACAGTAGATCCCACTCTGATCTTAAATCCACGTTACATCCCACTCTGAAGCACCTTATTTGTGGCAATAGAAAGCAGTTAAGTTAGACACAATGACCTCCAGAAGAGAAACTGGGACTCTAATTGGTCTCCTCGTCTCTGTCTACCTTCCTAAATTCTTTATTAAAAAAAATTTTTTTTTTCACTCTGTCACCCAGGTTGGAGTGCAGTGGCACCACTACGGCTCACTGTAGCCTCAAACTCTTGGGCTCAAGTGATCCCCCCACCTCAGTCTCCCAAGTAGCTTGGACTACAGATATATGCCACCATGCCTGGCTACTTTTTGTATTTTTTGTAGAGAAGGGGTCTCCCTATGTTGCCCGGGTTGCCTAAAATTGTTTAAAGCAGTCAAATTTAGCAGTGGGGGCATTGTACATCAACTTTAGTGACACTAGTGTTAGTAAGTTCTGATAACACATTACCATTGGACCAGCGCCTCCCTAAACTTGATCTTTATCTCTGTTGCCTGTGGCAATTTTGTATATCAGTCTGTCCAGCTCACTCTGCCAATCTCTCCACCTTGAATCTGTGTGTCCCCACTTTGCTCCTGTGCTCCTAAATACCTCTTTTTCTCTCTCTCTCCCAAAACCTCTCTGCCTGTTTTCTCTGCAGCCATGGGTCAGAGCCCCCTCTCTGCAGTTTCGTCTCTGCTGCTGCTGCTCTGGTTCCTCGCAGTGAGGGCCTTTCCAGACAGTCCAGGCCTCCTTTGATGCATGAGACACGGGACAGCCTCACCTGCTGCCTCTGCCCATCCTGAGGATGTTGGCGATGTGTGCTTTCAGTGTAATCAAGATTCCTGGCAACCCCATCTGCAGGGAACTCTGGGACCTTCTCTGGTAGCTGCCAGACCTGCTGGTGGAGAAACAGGAGACAATTTGGGGACTGAACCTTACCCAGGGCTCTAGGAGTGAGACTCTGAATAAAGGGTTGGGCCGGCGGTGTGGGGGGTACTTCAAGACAGGCAGCAACTCACTTGGAGATAGAAAGACTTCAGTTGATTTGGGGGGTGACTGGAGAGGAAAGCACTTCGCAGTGATACCTGTTGGTGTTACTCAGATGCCTCACATGTCCATCTGGAAAGCTCTTGTTCACTCCTCCAGGAAGCCTTCTGTGACCTCTCCCACCCAGCTGGGGTAGTGACCCTGCCTCTGTGCTTCCACAGAGCCCTGAATGCTTCCGTATACCACATGTCCATGTCTGTCTGCCATGTCAAACTGTGAGCTTCCTGAGGGAAGGGACTGGGTCAGAGGCACAGAGGTAGTGCCAGGAAATGTGTGAAACTCAGAAAGGAACAAATACCTGTGAATGGCTGGTCCCTGCACTGCCCCTGCCTTGGACACTGTCAAGCTCTCAGTGTCCGAGTGTGAGAATGGGGTGGACGGTGCCTAACTCCAGCACACAGAGAGAAGGAGAGATGGAAGAGAGAGCTCTAGTCCTCCATCAGCACCTCAGCCAAATCCCATTCTTTTGTCAGCACAGATGTAACTTCTGCTCTAATCCATGAGTCCTGAGGCTCCTCTCATCATGGCTCACTGTAGCCTCAAACTCCTGGGCTCAAGAGATCCTCCCACCTCAGCCTCCCAAGTAGCTGGGACTACAGATACGTGCCACCACACCTAATTTTTGTGTTTTTTGTAGCGACAGGGTCTCCCTAGGTTGCCTAAGTTCTTTTTTTTTTTTTTAAGCTCGTCATATTTAGCAGTGGGGGGTTATATACCAACTTTAGTGACAGTGACATTAATAAGTTCTGATAATCCACTACCATGGACACCAGCGATACATGGACAGCTGGGAAAGCGTTATTTCTGGATGTGTCTGTGAGGGTTTTCAGCAGGAGACTGGCGTGTGAGTTGATGGACTAAGTGGCAAGTTCCACTCTCAATGTGGGAGGGCATGGAGAAGACAAAAAAGTAGGAGAAAGGCAAATTCATGCTCTTTCCTGGAGCTGGGACATCCTTCTCTTACCATTGGATATTAGAACTTCAGGTTCTCAGGCTTTGAACTTGGACTTGGACTTGCACCAGTGGCCATGAGACAGACCTGAAGTACAGACAGACCTGGACCCCCAGCTTCCACTACCACAGACCTCAAGGGTAATACAGGGCATCGAGGAGGTGCTAGGTACACGCTTACTTTATTGAGTCGGGGATTTGGGGCCAAATGTCTGTAGGGCCTCCTGCTCTGGAAACTCAACTGAGAATCCCCAATCCTTTTCCCTGAGCCCCTCGGCAGGGAAAGGTAAGACCCAATGCCCTGCAAAGAAGCCACCTAGGAAGGAAGACAGGAAACGGAGCAGTTCAGTTCAGTTTCTCATAATAACCCGCACGCTCTCCACTGAGAGCTCTAGTACCCAGCACAAACAATTCTGTCCCTCCAAGACTGTACTCTGTGACCTTGGCCTTTGTAGAGTTCTTCTTTTTTTTTTGGAATTAGGGGAGTGGCAGGCTCTGGATTTCCGTTAGTTAGGGTGTGTAGACAATGAGTGCTCCCTTGTGGATTGTGAAGTCAAGTGTCCCAGGGTCTTAGGAGCAGTGGGGAGAGACTGGCTGGCTTAAAGACCAGCAACCACTTGGCCATGGCTGTCCTTTTCTGGAGGAGCTGTGGCTGCAGCAGATCCCTGTGACTTAGTCCTACCCTTCACAGGGCCTGCACCAGCACCAGGAGGCTCATGACCAGGGCCATGGAGAAGAAGATGCCCAGGAAGAAGCGGTCCATCACACGGGCCAGGCGCTTCCAGTCCTCATGGCAGCGCTGTGCAGCTCGGTGGCTGCGGAAGGTATTGGCAATGGTGGCTACATGGTGCAGTAGGGCTTCCTGGTGGCATAGACATCGTGGCTCGTGGCAAGGGCCCGCTGGGGGGCCACCTCCTCCTTTGGGAGACTGGGGGCTAGGGGATAACTCAGGTGACCTGGACTGCCCACAGGGCTCCCCTCTTTCCTGCACGCACAGGCTCTGTGCCAGGTGTCCCAGCAGGAGGGCCCTAGCCCAGGCTGGCACTGGGCGGGCACTGGGACCACAGTAATGCAGGTTCATGATAAGGATAGTGAGTGCTGTTGAGAATGTGACCATGGTCATAGTGGCCATGTAGTACTTCCCTGCAAGAGAGACAGAAAGCCAATTGGGACTCAAAACAAAAAGCCTGTGGATCCTGAGCTTCCTAGTCACCTCTACACAAATGGAAATAAGCCCACCATGAGGCTCTCCAGACCCTCCAAGCCCCATGGATGGAAGCAGGAAGGAGGTAAGGGCCAAGTTCTCCCCATCCTTCATTCCTACACGTGGGTCATCAGAAGCTACTGCTCCCTAATTGCTCCCCTCACTGCTGGAAGCTGCACTCATACACAATCCAGGACAGTCCTACTCTCAAATAACGATGGGCATGAGCTGGGGCAAGATACGAATCCTTTTTGTACAAATGGGATAACCAGAGGACCTACTTCCTAGGTTTGTGGTGATGTTTACCTGAGTTAATAAAGGTCAAGTGCTTAGGGGAGTGCCTGGCACACAGTGAGCAGTCGATGGATTTTGCCTATTACTAGGATCTGGGGATACTGATGTTCCACCATCAAGACCCAGTCGTGAGGGGTGTTCTCCCTGGAAGGAGCTAATCCTTTCCCCTCAAAATTAGGGGACGTTCCCAGGACGCCCCCGCCTCATTCTCTGAAGCGGGCCGTTCGGCAGACCCAGGCCCTGTAGCGGCCCCGCCCTGGGGGGTCCCCGGCGCAGCGTCAGGTTCCCCCGCACCTCCGCTGCTCACCGATGAGCGGCACGCTCTCGGCCGGCGGCATGCTCTCGGCCAGCAGCAGCTGGAAGACGGTGAGCGCCAGCAGCACCGTGACGCCCAACGACACCTTCTCGCCCGAGTCGGCGGGCAGGTGGAAGGCGAGCGGCGCAAGCAGCGAGATGAGCACGCAGGGCAGCAGCAGGTTGCACACGTAGGCGGCGGCGCGGCGGTGCAGCAGAAGCGTGAAGGTGACGTCGGGGTAGGGCTCTGAGCAGCAGCCGTAGGTGAGCACGCGCCGCTGCGCCGGCATACCCAGCACGCGCCACTCCACGTTCTCCACGAAGTCCGCCAGGCTGGCGGCAGCGCCGCGCGGCCGCACATCCAGTTGGTGCCCGCCGTGAGTCCAGGAGCCGAACGTCAGGCCGCAGCGCTGGGCGTCGAACGGGAAGGCCGCCACGTCCACGGGGCACGAGCTGCGCGTGATGGCCGGTGCGTCCCAGCGCACGGTGCCATCGTGGCGTAGGACCACGTTGGTGCTGGCCGAGCCTGGCGGCTGCGCGTCCGCCCTGCGGGCAGGCGGGGCGGGGCTTGGCTCACTCAGGCTGTCCAGCCCGAGAAGCAGCCCTGGAGTCCAGGACCCCAGGGCAGACCCCCAGGGTCTGAAAGAAACCAAAACTTCTCCCCAGAATATTGAGGCTCATTAAGTTCGAGACACGACGCAGGGGAGCACCTGGCCCCAGCAGCTGCTGGCCTGATGGCAAGACACCAGCCCTTCCTTGCTGGAGACAGCACTTGCTTTTCCAAAGGGCACCAGTAGGTGCCAGAGGAATCTGGGAACAGATTTTACCCTCTTCCCACGTTTTCTCGCCTTTTAAAGGCTGGAACTGCTCTCCTTTGTCTTGCCACTATTTACAACTTACTGGATCTTTCTTGAATTTCTATTTAAGCAAGGCCTCTAAGCCACTGCCTTCAGAGAGAAATACTTTTGAACTAAGGCCTCTCCCGTGATGGGTACAGCAGGTTAATAAACTTCTGCTTGTGGCCGGGCACGGTGGCTCACGCCTGTAATCCCAGCACTTTGGGAGGCCGAGGCGGGTGGATCACGAGGTCAGGAGATCGAGACCAACCTGGCTAACACGGTGAAACCCCGTCTCTACTGAAAATACAAAAAAATTAGCCAGGCGTGGTGGTGGGCGCCTGTAGTCCCAGTTACTTGGGGGGCTGAGGCAGGAGAATGGCGTGAACCCGGGAGGCGTTGCTTATAGTGAGCGGAGATGGCGCCACTGCACTCCAGCCTGGGAGACTGCGTCTCAAATAAATAAATAAATAAATAAATAAATAAATAAATAAATAAACTTCTGCTTGTTTTTCTTTCGTTAATTTGACTCTCGTTTTCAGAACAAAGCAACACAGAGGGTGGAGTGCACCTAGAGAGACCCGCTGCTTGGAAGGGGTGGCGCCTAAAGGGCCCAGAAGGGACACAGATGTAGCCAGAGGACGTATAAACAGGCCTCTGCAGAACCCAGAGGCAACTCCGGGACACACAATGACTTCCCTTGGGGGACATCTGCAAAACTTATAGAGGGGCCCCAGAGAAAATATGCAGAGGGGCCCCAGAGAAAATAAAGCAGTGTTCCAGATGTCCTGGAGGAAAGAGAACCTTAGACAGGCTCTTGGGGGAGCCCTGAGAAACTTAGGGCTAAAAATGTGCCCTAGAGAGGCCCTTGTGATCCAGGCATCTGCCCTGGACCACACAGTAGGTTCCCAGGAGACGTTCAGCCTGGGCTGGCCTGGGATAGCCTAAAGTGGGGGTGCCATGGAGGGGCTGTGAATGCCTGGCAGCTTAGAAGGGTCCTGGGGAAAAGTTTCCAGGGCAGCATGGCAACCGGGTTGTGTGGTAGGGAGAGGGGATCAGTGCACACCCATGGCTAAGGGCAAGTCTAGAGAGGGGTAGGAGAGGGGAAGAGCCCAGATAGGCAGTACTTGTTATAGAGTACGATGTCTGGCCGCCACACAAGACTGCTGGGGATGCGGATGGCATCCAGGCCGCCATAGGCATTGGGGTCCCATTGTAGGTAGGCATCTGTCCACTCCTGCCGTATCCACAGATACAGGGTCAGCACCTGGTTCCGTTCATCCTAGTGGGGGCAGGGGATGGCAGAGATGTGGACATGTATATGCATATCCTGCCCCGTCTGTGCACACTCCCCTGCAGGGCTCTGGTCAGCACCCACAAACCTGACTTGTCCATACTGTCCAGTTCCCACCCAGACCTGACTTTGCCATGTGACCTTAGTGGGCTCTTCTCTTTTCTGGGCCCATTTCCTCAGCAGTTATATAAGGTGAGAATCCCCGCTTAGCAGGGATTCAATAAGTTCAGGAGTGCAAAATGTTGGGCACAAGGTAGGCACCCAACAGTCAGTATCCAACAGTTGGTAACTGCTATCTTTGTTAATATTAACATTTACAGAAAAGGAATTTCTGTGGAGAGAAATCCCAGTCTCTCACCCCTTCATTTCTTGACACTGTGACAGGTAAGACTCCACAGCTGTACCACTACCACAACGCACCATGTCGATGATCTGGGACAGTGTCACCTCCAGGGTCACATTCAGAGTCTGGTCTGTGTCTGCCACAGGTCTCAGGGCACTTGTGTAGTTGGCGAAGAGGTCACGGAACAGCTTGAGAGCCAGCCGGCCCTCAGCTCCCAGGCACTCTGGAGGGTCAGTAAGGAGGGTTGTCCATCCCAGGCCCTAGTCTCAGGGCCTTTGCTCACACCCTCCACTCCCAGGGCTGAGGCCCTGTCCTTATGAGTGTCCTCCTGTGTCTGCCCTTTCTTGCTCTAGCTGTGGCTCTAGTTCCTCCCTGGCTTGCCTGCAGGGACACACAAGATAAAGGCCATGGAGTGAATTGTTACTATCTTTTGGCACTAGGCTGACAAATTTCTCCTCCACCCTTCCCTTTTCAAGGACCTGGAGTCTGCCTGCCTCTCCACAAATGCTAGAGGGATCCAAACAAGCCACAAGAGTCCAGACTTTCACCTAGGGATTCTGAACCCCACTGCTCTGCCCCCTCCTGTCTCTCTCAAACCTGTTTCCACTTCTCCATCTCAAGCTGGTTTCTTCAAAACTTCTGATGCGATGGAACATTCCTTCCTTCTGAAAACACACTCTTCCCCAGGCTTTCCTGACACACATTTTCCTCAATCCCTGACCTGAATATTGTTCCCATGAATACTGTCCTTGGCTTCCTTCTTTTTCTTCATCCCAGATTTTTCTCCTGAGCTCCAGACCCAAATAGAGTACAGTCCACTCCTGAGTTTCCCACAGGCACTTTCAACTGAACTCGCTTCCTCTCTCCATGCTCTGAAACCTACTTCCTATCCCATGTTTCCTATCTCAGCAAATAGCATGCCCTCAGCTGCAATAGTGACCTCAGCTGGAAATCTGGGAATTATCCCTCCCTTCTCCCTCTCCTGCCTCCTCCTCTTGGAATCCAGTTAATCTCCAGATCCTGTCAGATCATTCAAATCCTCCAGATTTCGCTAAACATGATCTTGAGTCTGCCCTCTCCCCTCCAGGCCAGGCCCTTCCCTTCACTGTCACCCCCTCCCCCGAGGCTCACCTCCTACCCCTCCCATGCCCATGGACCATGCTTTTAAGCATGTACATCTGATCAGGCTAGTATGCTGCTGAAACCTTTCAGTGCTGCCCCCATCGTCTGCAGGAGAAAGACCTGGCCTGGCCGGCAGGCCCTTCAGCATCTGGCCCCTCTGATTTTCCCAACCCTGTCTCTGGAAGCTCCCCACTCATTGTTCCCACCTTAGCCAGGCAAGTCTCCTCTCACCCACTTCAGCACCCCTCTTCTCCACACTCCCCGAATACAGAGCTTGTTCTCAAAACAGGTACTGAGGAGAAACACAAGAGAGACTACATGGAAAGGGATTTTGGGAGAACAGGAATAGCAGCACCACGAGCTTCATACCTGCAGGGAGTAGAAACAGAAGCAGAAGGCCCAGGCTGAGGTGGTGGCTCCGGAGCCCCATGGTCCTGGCACTGCAAGAGGTGGGGCAGGTCTCTGGGTGTGACGCCTCCTGGCCAGACCTAGGGCAAAATTAGGCCCAGCTGGCAAGGATGGTATGGACAGTACCTAGAAGTCAGAAGTAAGACTGAGATCTCTGGCGGGTCCAACCACCCTCCAGCGGGCCCTGCAGCCCCTCCAGTCTTCTGATCCTCCAATTTGTGCCTGCCCCTGGAGTTTAGTACTTGGTCTGTCTTTCTTCTCTGCTGGTCCTTGCCTCTTCTGGCCTCTGCCTCTGCCCTTTCCTATGCTCCCCACCCGCTTTGCCTTTCACTCTGTCTCTGTTTCCTTCTCTTTCCCTCTGTAACTTTCTTGGTCTCTCTGCCTCCCTGACTCTGATCGCCCCCTGCCTGCCTCTTTCCACTCTCTCTCCCTTTCTCCTACTTCTGTTTCATCCCTCATTCCTTCCTTCCTTCTTCCATTCCCCACACCTGGACTCTAGATGGGCCTGCTGCTCTCTCAGCAGAACAGGGACCAGGGACTCCCTTGATCAGCCCAGAGTCATCTGAGGCACAGGACAGTAGCCCTTCCCTCTTTGCCCTTTCATTAGCTTAATTATACCTGTGCATTACACAGGTGTTAAGACACCTGTCCCCATGACAACAGAGCAAAGGAAACTGATACCTCAGGCCTCTGGGGCTTGAATTATTCAAACTCTGTAAAGCAGCACACAGACTCAGCGCAGGCCCATCCTCAGGGGTTGGAGAGTACAGGTATGCTGGGTCAGGGTATGTGGAAGACCAGGGTTTAAGAGTGTGAGGCGCCAGGGTCAGTGGATGGATAACTGTCCTCTCATCTTAGCCACCATTGCCTGAATTCTGGAGGTGGAGGTTCCCCTTAGACTTGCAGCTCTCCTTGCAGTGTGGGACTAGACACTCCAGGCTAGGCACTTTGGGTCAAGCAAGCCCTTCCCTCCTGGTGGGAGTGGTGCTGAGCCTCAGGCCACTCCAGATGACCCAATGGACGTGGGTCCTCTCCTCAGACTCCCTGCAGTCATTCCCATCTGAGCCTGTTTTTTCTCCTTGCCCAAACCCTGTGGGCAGTGTGGGAGAGCAGGGCAAGCATAGGCTTCAGAGTCACTTTCGGCCCTGTCTTATGAACGCTCTCACCTGGGTAAGATATTGAAACCCTCTGGGTTTCTGTTTTCTCAATCTGGTAATTGGATTAACAGTACTCATCTTGAAAATTGCAAGGATTAAATGAGATAACCTGATAATGCAAGGCACTGTCTAGCACGGTGCCTAAGGTACAGCAGGCCATCAACAATATTTACACTGTGGTCCTAGTGAGGTAGCCAGGCTATCCTCAGGAACACACATTTAGAGTCACAGGTATTTATCATGCACAGAGTTGTGATTATTTTTGTTCAAGGTGACCAGTTGCCTGACCAACAGCAGCACATACTTCCCTGGCAATCACATCCATAGCCATGACTTCGGGCATCATGGATATGCCAGTGATTCCCTGCTCTTTCTCCATCCCAGTCCCCTCTCCTAGGTACTCTGCTTAACTCCAACATCCCCCTCTGGATGTCACACAGCATTTCACATCATTTCACACTGAAGCTTCAGAAATCCAGCCTTCACTTACTCAAGCTAGTAGAGGGGAACTGTCCTTAACTTGTTAAAGAACAACTACCAAAAAAACCCTACAGCTAGGGTATACTTAATGGTGAGAAACTAGAAGTTTTCTCCCTAAGATTAGAATAAGGTAAAGATGTCCCCCTCTCGCCACTCCTATTCAACATCATATTGAAGCCCTAGCTAGTCCAATAAGACAAGACAAGGAAATAAAAGGTTGGGAAGGAAGAAATAAAACTATCTTTTTCACTATGTTGGCCAGGCTGGTTTCAAACTCCTGACCTCATGATCTTCCTGCCTTGGCCTCCCAAAGTGCTGGGATTACAGGCATGAGCCACTGCACCCAGCCTCAATGCAATCTTAATCAAAATCACAGCAAATTATTTTGTGGTTATCAACAAACTAATTCTTTGTTTTTTGTTTTTTGTTTTTTTTGAGACAGAGTCTCGCTCTGCCGCCCAGGCTGGAGTGCAGTGGCCGGATCTCAGCTCACTGCAAGCTCCGCCTCCCGGGTTCACGCCATTCTCCTGCCTCAGCCTCCCAAGTAGCTGGGACTACAGGCGCCCGCCACCTCGCCCGGCTAGTTTTTTGTATTTTTTAGTAGAGACGGGGTTTCACCGGGTTAGCCAGGATGGTCTCGATCTCCTGACCTTGTGATCCGCCCGTCTCGGCCTCCCAAAGTGCTGGGATTACAGGCTTGAGCCACCGCGCCCGGCCTTCAACAAACTAATTCTAAAGTTTACAAGGAAAATGAAAAGACCTGGAATAGTAACACTGAAGAGGAGGAAAATTGGAGAACTGACACTACACTACCCAACTTCAAAAATTACTATAAAGCTACAGTAATCAAGACAGTGTGGTATTGGCAAAAGAATTAACACACGGATCAATGGAACAGAATAGAGAGCTTGGAAACAGATCTCAACTGATCTTTGACGAAGGACCAAAGGCAATTCAATGGAGAAAGGATGGTCTTTTCAACAAGTGGTGTTGGAACAACTAGATATCCATAAGCCAAAAAAAAAAAAAAAGAAAAGAAATTGGAACTAGACATAGATTTTACATTTTCACAAAAATTGACTCAAAATGAATCATAGATATAAACATAAAATGCAAAACTACAAAACTTCTAGAAGATGATATAGGAGAAAATCTAGGTGACCTTGGCTTTGGCAATGACGTTTTAGATACAACAGTAAAAGCACAACCCATGAAAGAAAAAATTGGTAAGTTGGACTTTATTAAAATTTAAAACTTCTGCTCTGCAAAAGACACTGTTAAGATGATGAAAAGACAAGCCACACATTGTAATAAAATATTTATACAACACATATGCAATAAAACATCTTGTATCCAAAATATTAAAGAACCCTTAAAATTCAACAATAAGCCAGATGCAGTGGTGTCCCCTTTAGTCCCAGCTACTGAAGAGGGTGAGGCAGGAGGATCGCTTGAGCCCAGGAGTTTGAGTCCAGCTTGGGCAACATAGTGAGACCCTGTCTCTAAAAAAACAAAGCAAACCTCAACAATAAGAAATAATCCGACTAAAAATATGGACAAAAGATACACAGCAAAGAAGATAGCATCAGCTGATTAATGGATAAACAAAATGTAGATTACTGCTACAATGGAGTATTCTTCAGCCATAAAAAATCTATTGAAGTACTTTGACATGATACAACATGGATGAATCTTGAAAACATATTAAGTGAATAAGCCAGATACAGAAGTCCACATACTGTGATTTCACTTATATGAAATGTCCAGAATAGGCAAACTCATAGAGAAAGCACATAGGTTATTGGTTCCCAGGGAATGGGGGTGGAGGGGAATTGGGAATAATTGCCGATACGGAGTTTGGGTGGGAATGAAAATGTCTTTTTTTTTGAGACAGGATCTCACTCTGTCACCCAGGCTGGAGTGCAGTGGTGCAATCTCAGCTCACTGTAACCTCTGCCTCCCAAGCTCAAGCAATCCTCCTCCTCCTCAGCCTCCCGAGTAGCTGGGACTACAGGCACACACTGCCATGCCCAGCTAATTTTTTTTTAATTATTTTATTTTTTGTAGGGACAGGGTTTCACCTAGGCAGCTCTCGAACTCCTGGGCTCAAGAGATCCACCTGCCTCAGCCTCCCAAAGTGTTGGGATTACAGGTGTGAGCCACCACACCTGGCCAAAAATCTCTTGAAATTACTGGTGTTGGTTGCACAATAATGAATATATGAAAAACCATGGTAGTGTAAGTACATTGTAAAACGGTGAACTTTATGTTATGTGAAATATCTTTTTTTTTTTTTTTTTTGATACAGAGCCTCACTGTGTCTCCCAGGCTGGAGTACAAAGGCACGGTCTCGGTTTACTGCAACCTCTGCCTCCCAGGTTCATGTGATTCTCCTGCCTCAGCTTCCTGAGTAGCTGGGATTACAGGCATGTGCCACCACATCCAGCTAGTTTTTGTATTTTTAGTAGAGACAGGGATTTACCTTGTTGGCCAGGCTGGTCTTGAACTCCTGGCCTCAAGTGATCTGCCCACTTTGGCCTCCCAAAAGTGCTGGGATTACAGGCATGAGTCACCACACCCAGCCTATATCTCCATTTTTAAAATGCTACAAATGTTTTAAATTGGTAAATAATTTGAATACGTGTTCCTCAAAAGAAGATATATAAGTAGCCAATGAGAATAAAAAGAGATGTTTAACATCATTCGTCATCAGGTGTCTTAGTCCATTCTGTTGGCTATAACAAAATAACATTTTTTTGAAGGTTGAAAAGTCCAAGATCAGTTTCCAGTGAGAGCTGGTTTCCCGATTCATAGATGGCACCTTCTTGCTGTGTCCTCTCGTGGTGGGAGGGGCAAGGCAGCTCTCTGGAGTCTCTTTCATAAGGAAAAAATTTCATTCATGAAGTCCACCCTCATGACTAATCATCTCCCAAAGGTCCCGCCTCCTAACACCATCACATTTGTGATTTGGTTTCAATATATGAATTTGGAAGCATGGTGTGGGGTACAAACATTCAGACCACAGCATCAGAGAAATGCAAATTAAAACAATTAGATACTTCTTCAGATCCACTAGGATGGCTGTAATCAAAATAGTACATAATGAGTGTTGGTGAAGATTTGGAGAAATCAGAATCCTCATACATTGATGGTGAGAATGTAATATTGTGCAACCACTTTGGAAAAGTTTTGCTTAGAGTTACCATATGTTCCAGCAGTTTCACTTCTAGGTGTATACCCCAGACAAATAAAAACATGTGTCTACACAAAAACTTGTATATGAATGTTCATACCAGCATTATTCATAGTAGACATGACATGGAAACAATAAAAATGTCATTCAACTGATGAATGTATAAAAAAACATGTTAAGCCAGGTGCAGTGGTGTATACCTGTAGTCCCAGCTACTCAGGAGGCTGAGAGAGGAGGACTGCTTGAGCCCAAGAGTTTCAGGCTATACTGCACTATGATCATGCCTGAGAAATAGCCACTGTACTCCATCCTGGGCAACATGGAAATATCCCATTTCTAAAAGAAAAAAAAAGTCATACGTCATATATCCATAAAATGGAATTTATGGCCATTTAAAGTAACACAGTACTGACACATGCTACAACATGAGAGAACCTTGAAATATTATACTAAGTTAAAGTCAGTCAGTCACAAGACCACATATTGTATGATTCCCTTTATATGAAATGTCCAGAATTGGCAAATCTATAGAAACAGGAAGTAGATTAGTGGTTATCTAGGGCTAGGAAGATTGACAGATGATGGCTAAAGCCTTCAGGGTTTTTCTGGGACAATGATGAAAATGTTCTAAAACCAACTGTGATTATTGCACAACTCTGAGAATATAGCAAAAATAATTGCATACATTAAATGGGTAAATGTATGATATGTGAATTATATCTCAATAAACCTGTTAACAAAAGTTCATAATCCATCATGAGTGAGAGTTAGCAGAAAAAAGAAAACAATTGCAGAAATAAGAAAGAGCTCACAGGCACTGGAATGTTAGATAATGATAATTTGAATAGTTAATTCATGATTTTCACAACACCCTTTAAGGAAGACATTATTATTATTATTATTTTGAGACGGAGTCTCGCTCTGTCACCCAGGCTGGAGTGCAGTGGCACGATCTCCGCTCACTGCAAGCTCCACTTCCCGGGTTCACGCCATTCTCCTGACTCAGCCTCCCGAGGAGCTGGGACTACAGGTGCCTGCCACCATGCCTGGCTAATTTTGTTTTTGTATTTTTAGTAGAGATGGGGTTTCACCGTGTTAGCCAGGATCATCTTGATCTCCTGACCTCATGATAAGGCCGCCTCAGCCTCCCAAAGTGCTAGGATTACAGGCGTTGAGCCACCACACCTGGCCAAGGAAGATATTATTGTTTCTATTTTACAAATGAGGTAACTGAGACACAGGAATAATTTACCTAAGATCCCATAGCATAGAACAGTGGACCTGGCATTTGAACATATAGCTGGGTTAAGGAGACCATTCCTTTCTAAACTACACTGCCTCTTTTAAAAACAAAATAGTGATCGTGAGACTGCACTGCAGCCTGGGTGACAGAGTGAGACCTTGTCTCAAAAAAAAAAAAAAAAAAAAAGTGTATGTGTAATGTGATTTAATACTACCTAACTTACTAAAATTAATAATATAAAAATTAAAACAGCAGATTAGACATAGCTGAAGAGAGATAACCAATGAATTCCAAGATAGATCTGAAAAAATTACCTAGAATACAATCCAAGGAGACAAAAATAAAGAAAGAGATTAGGAAACAGGCCAGGCGCAGTGGCTCAGATCTGTAATTCCAGTACTTTGGAAGGCCAAGGAGGGAGAATTGCTTGAGCCTAGGAGTTGGAGACCAGCCTGGGCAGGGCAACACAGAACATAGGGACACCCTGTCTCTACAAAAACATAAAAAGTGAGCCAGGCATGGTGGTATACATCTGTACCTATTTGGTAGGCTGAGGCAGGAGGATCCCTTGAGCCCAGGAGTTTGAGGCTTCAGTGAGCTATGATCATCGTGCTATTACAGCCCATCTTAGGTGACAGAGCGAGACCCAGATTGCAAAGGCACTGTAACAGAATGAAAAGACAAGCTAGAGATTGGGAGAAAATATTTCAAAATCATATTCAACAAAGGACTCAAATACAGAATCTATAAAGAATCCTCACAAAACTCAACTATAATAAACCATTTGTTTAAACCCATTTGTGCCAGAGGTTGCAAATTTTTTTTGTGTGAAAAATCAGACCTTGGCAATGATCTTGAGTAATAGGATATAGGTAACTCCCACTAGCTTAATAATGAAATGAAACACTAGGCATAGAGAGGTTAAAAAAAGACAAGGTCTGGCTCTGTCGCTCAGGTTGGAGTGCAGTGATGCAATCACAGTTCACTGCAACCTCTGCCTCCAGAG